TCACACTAAAAGTTTTGTGTAGTGTTCAGTTAAGTTTCAGTTAAATCTAAATTGTAGGGGGATGCGAATATTCGAAAGTTTTAAATGTTGAAGCGAATAATGCTATATTCAATTCGAACTTCAAATAGGAATATTCAGCAACTTCGATTATTTTCGAAGTATTTCAAAGTTTGAAATGCTGCAAAACATACCTTAAAGGGCAACTTTGGTAGGAAACGAAACCAAAATAAATGACTGGTATCGCTTCAGGGGCACGAAATATGATCACAGCCCAAATATTACGTCAGAGTGAAGCCGCGTACTCCACTAAAACTGATTTTAAAGATGCGACCAGCTGCTCTTTAGCGGGTGGCAAGCTGGTTAGCCAAGGAACACTGGCGTAGCACCCCTGAGACGTTAGGTCGCAGGGGAGCTGCGGTTGATTGGTTGTACCGCGTACCACATCAGGAGTACTGGATACCGTTGCGGCCACTGATCTCGATGACAATTGCTGGATCGCGCTTCCCGCTCCCGCGAGTGAAGCCACCGGACGGCCACCTTGCTCGTAGAGGATTTGCGGTTTTGCTAGCGTTACAGAGGCTGGCGGCAGTGTGCTGAAGACATGCTTTCTACTCGTTCGTTGTCATTCGTCGAAGAAGATTTTTAAGACCCTGTGTAAGGTTGACGCTCGCCGTGGAGAACAGATAGAAATTTTTATGAAAGCGCAGTGCAGCAGGAAAAAGTCACAAAAAATAAATAAAGATTTTGTATTACTGATTTGATTGCCATAAGCATCTAGTAAACAAAACAAAAACGTGCGGCTGATACCGCCCCCTTCCCCCCCTCTTCCGTCGCCACTGGACACTGGATCAAGCTCATTTCTGGATCGCGAGTGCCGCAGGTTACAAATGCAGTCAGAGTAAAAGTTAAACGCTGCTCAGAGGTACATACGACTTCACGCACACCGCACTCGCAAAACACATCCACACGGCGCCGAAAAGAATCTTGATCGGTATCCAAGAGTGCGAAGGCACACAGACGCAGCACTTGGGCGTGCCAAGAAAGCTTTGATTAGGCCGCGAGACCGGTGACACTTGCTGTCGACGAGTTGTGCCTTTACATACGGCTTCACGCAAATTGCACTCACAAAACACATCCACACGACTTCGATTCTTCATCGGCATCCAAACGTGCGAAGGCACAGAGACGCAGCACTTCGGTGTGCCAAGAAAGCTTTGACCCCACCGCGAGACCGGCGAAACTTACTTTGGACGAGTTGTGCCCTTTTCCTGCGACACTGTGCTTTAGTAAAATTTCCCACGTGTTCACAACGGCAAGGCTCAACGGTTACACAGAGTCCTAAAAAACTTCTTCGGCGAATGACGACGAACGAGTAGAAAACGTGTCTACAGCACGCTGGAAAATCGCAGCAAAACGCTAGCAAAACTGCAAATTGTCTACGAGCAAGATGGCCGTCAGGTGGCTTCACTCGCGCTGCAGCGAACAAGCGGGGCAAGCAGGGAAGCGCCTCTGTTATATTGGACAGACTAAACGCTGTATAAATGAGCGCTTGATGGAACACAAACGTTGTATAATGAAAAAAGACCCGTACTCCGAAGTGTCAAAACATGTTATCGAGTGTAGGAACTGTGCACCGTTGTTGCGTTTAACTTCAGTAGTGTTGCGAGAAAAAGATGACCATAAGCGATTGATAAAAGAGTCATTAACAATACTAGGTCACTGGAACGCAGATAATAAGCCGTCGTTTGGGTTGGACAACGAACTTCGGAGTTTTCTTAGGCTGTGAAAAGTTCTGACCTTCAAGGTTTATCTTTGTAGGTTTTCGGGTAAAAGAAACGTTAAGTCGTTTTTTTTTTGTGTTAATGGGTTATTGTAGGTTTTCAAGTAAAAAAAACGTTAAGTCGTTTGTGTTTTTTTTGGTGTGTGTGTGCGTGTTAATGGGCTTAGGCTTTCCAGTGTGTTTGGCGGTCGGGTAGTGAGGGGTCAAAGACAAGAGAGGTGCATGACGCAGAGTCCGTTGTCCTTGTATTTAGTCAAAGGTTACATTGGTGGAAAGTGGCATTCTTTGGGGTTCTCACCCTCTCCCCCTTTTTTTCTTTTGTATCGAAGTACCTATATAACCAGATTTCAGAAAATAAAAATTTCAGCTGTGTTAGAGACTTTATAGTGTTGTGTCGTTTACCCGCAGTCTCGGTTTTTTTTCGACCATGTGCAATGTACACCAGCTCGTTTGCGCCCTCACTTTTTGTTCATACTATTGGGACAGAATGAAATGTGACTACTGGAATGCACAGCCTTTGCTACCTGGAGGCTGATAAAACAGCGGAGTGGAGAGGAGGCTTTGAGAGTGTGCACTTTCTGCGACGTGCAGATAGCGCTGCATGTGTCAAAGGCCACGCATTCCAACGTTCACACTCCATTCCGATAATATATTCGGCAGAGACTGAGCATTGGGCGATGCATATTTTATTTTTACCGCAATATTTCTCTCAAATGCGTTGAAGTTCTATGGTTTCTAACAAAATTGCTCCACCTGAGACTTACGAATTGAGAACACTCTTGATGTTGCAGCCAAGCAGCCCAGGAAGAAGTCATCGAAATGCAAGACCACCACTCAGCCATTGACCAGTGACACACAGCCAGGTATATTTTGTCAAAAAAAAAAAAAAAAAAGCTTAAAATCTGGGGCTGCTTGCTATGTCCAAAGCCCGTCTCCGAGATCCCACGGATAAAAATACAGCACAGTTTTGCTGAACAGATTTATGCTCAAATTAGTTTGCATTTGTTAAAAATATAAACAGATTTTGTTGTTCGTTACAATCTGCACTTTGTAACACCTGATATTGGTCTCGCAGCCAAGCGTCCCAGGGGCAGACCACCAAAGGTGCGGACCACTATTCAAGAGACGATGCAGCAAACACAGTCAGGTAAGGGCTGCTAAATCGAAGTAAGCTAAAGGTTCATATTGAACAGTAAAAGCTGAACCTAGACACACACAAAAGAATGTGACAGATCAAATTGACTAGGCAACGTTTTACCTTTGAAAAAGAACGCACAATTTTAAGCGTCCAGCTTCAATGTCTTTCACGTTGCTACCGACATCCCAGTGCATGTATACCATAAAAACATGACAGGAAGTTCATAGGAGTTGCTACCGAAACTACAATGACAACAAACTTGACTTTCTTTTTAATGCGAGAGTTTTGAAATCATTAATCCCGCACACACCGCTTTCTAGCAAGTGCAGCAACGACCAGCCATGGAAGAGCATCCAAGCCGGCATTTAAGCGAGCCAAAGAAAGGACAGCAGCTTCTAAAAGTGACCCAAGGCCAAAATACCAGTCAGCCACCGAAACTATAAAAAAAGTGTAGAAGAGGAAAGACGTCGGGGCTCACCAGAAGACCGTGCAGTGCCAGGAGCAGACGAAGTGTGCAGCGGGTGCAACCATCTTCGTAGCAGTGCTTCCAAATTTGCCTTCAGCGCAACCTCAGATCCAAGAGGAGACAGCCATTTCTGTCCCCGTTCCAAACGAAGCTTTAAATCCGAATCTCGTTCAGTGTTTATCCGCGGTTCAAGCAAACCGTTCCCCAAACAAGGATGAGCAACCAAGGATGCATCTGGAAGTTGAAAAACAAGGCCCAGCATGCCCGATACAAGCCAGCCAGGTTAAAGTTCAAGTCGACACTTTGCCACTGCTTCAGAGGTTCGGTGCAGCAAGTGAGCAATCGCGTGTACTGAGACAACTGAAGCCGGCGACCGGAGCTTCTGTCACAAAGTCAACGAATGGGACACCAGTCTTGTTCGAGACTCCGCTCTTTTTCACGGAAGGCTTGGAAGGCATCGAGGACGTCAATCCCCTCATTCAGTTTCTAGATGACGACATTGAAAAAGATGGCCGTTCCGACGACGGGGCCTGCCCAACAGGCACCGAAACTGAAATCGTCCCAGCTTCAGTTGCAACAGCGAGCAGAGAGCTGCTTTCGCAACTGATGCTGAAAGAGTCGACAATGGCGTCGGTGCCACCGTTTGTTGAGGCGTCTCACAGTGAACAGAGCAACACTACAACGAGGAGCGGAATGCAGAGTGGTACTGATCTCATGCCAGAGGTTTCTCCTATGAAACAGGTAAAACAAGGAGTCCCAAAATATTTAAAAGAAAAAGCAGCTTTCAAAGAAGACAAAAGCAAGACTTGGAGCGAGGCCAAGAGAGATATGAGTGGCAAGGCCAAGAAACCAAAGAATCCGGGTGCCAAGAAGCCAGCCGCAGACGTTGTTGCCCTACTATTAAACGATGCCATAGCACGTGCAAAACCAGCTAAGGGTCTGGCAGAGAGAGCTGGCAAGACGACGGCATCAGTAGGACCAACTGTGACATCCGCGAGGGCACTCGACAAAGTGGCGGCCCAGGTCCCGGCAAAACCAGCCACGACACCGGCGAGCGGCACTTTCAAAGCGACAATGGTTCTACCGCCGAAACCTGTTGCCACGACACCAGCAACGGCACTACCCCTAAAGGAAGCCGCGGCACTAGGAAAGCCGGCTGCCAAAACGGAAAACATGCAACAAACCGTCGCCGCCAAGCAGGCCACACATAAAGCGCCCCATCAAAATAGACTGTTCAAGGTCCCGAAAAAGGAATCAGTGGCAACGCCGCCCGAAGGCTTCGCAGCGCCGAAAGAGCTGCCACTTGCAAGTACAAACTCTAACGAAGATCAGCTGATTTGCAGCGGATCGTGGACGCCACGTCCGGAAGACAGCGACTTTGAAGCCTTGGCCGACCCAAGCATAACGTTTGAAAGCCTGTCGAGTGCCTCCGAGAAAATGGAAAAGGATCGCGACAGCGATTTCAACTACCTCGCAACGGTGGACTGTTCGCAGTTCTTCAGCAAGGAAGAATAACTCGTTGAATACCGCGTCCAAGCTCTCGTTCCCCGAGCATCTGGTGCTGGGAAGGCTTCCAAACACATGGTTGCAGTGCCACCGTTGGTGTTTTTTCACTTTTAGTATGTAAAAGCTCCACAACTGTTGTGACGCGGATCTGTTGAACCAAGAACGTTCATATGACGCTTGCACTTCTAGCAGCAACTTTTTATTGCAAAACTCACCCAACCGGGGGAAAAAAAAAATCTTGCCTTAATAAAAAAAAAAAAAAAAAAAAAAATTCTCAAAATCTTGGTCCTCACCTTACATGCTCACAAAAACAAACAAACAATCACTCTCTCTGCTCGAAACACACGCACAGAAAAGAAAAAAACAGCCTTGCCCGTGCGAGATGGTGGTGACGTCGGGGGTGGCGGTGAAAAGCTCACCGGAGATAAGCTCACCGGAGATAAGCTCACCGAAGAAAAGCTCACCGCAAAACCGGCATATGCGGAGAAAAGCTCACCGGTCTTTGACCGGATGCGGAGAAAAACTCGCCGATTTTCTTTTTTAACTTAGAGTATTCTGTGTCAAACGTGTCAATTTAACACAATTCGCATTCGTCACTTCATTAAAAACATGTCATCTTTTTGTAATATTCTTGAAGTTCATTGGGCATAATTACTAATTCCTCAGAAATTAGTAATCACCCATTCCGTATATTATTAAAGTATAAAATCAGAATATTGTACACCGGTAAAAAATACAACAATTTATATACAGCTGAAAGTGCGCCGTCGGTAGCTCTGTCAGATAAAGAGGTTTGTATTTTTGGAGCTAATATGAGTAGCGATGTGTGAACCGTTTCAGCTCCAAATATTGTGTAGTGCCTAATAGATAAGTAGGTGTTTACTGATGTAATCAGTGTCGGCTACGCTGTTTTCTTTCTGTTAATTTCACTAACAAAACTTCAGTTGCGAGAACAGCTTCGTCCTGTCGTGTTTGTTGTCTTCACTCCGTCGTTGTCGTTTGAGCGGTTTTCAACATGTATAACGTTTACCAACTTGCTATATTAATTCGCTTTATTACAGAAGACTAATTCTTCTATAGGTCACGAGAAACAACGTGTCAGTGTGCAGCTCTGAAGGTCATGGGTGGCTCGCCGTAGAAGGGCAAAATCACACAAAGGCAACGTGTGGAAACACCAGCACGAACGGCTACAAAACGTGCATGTCCGTAGAAGAAAAAGTCTCGACCTCCTACTGACTGTTTTATCCAGTTTTCAAAGGTTAACAAAAGCTTCAAAGAGAATTTCAGGCACCGCGTTGTTGCGCACGCACTTTCGGATTTTCGGCATTTGGAACTTTGATTTTTAGGTTTTAGACAGGCATTATTATGTGTTCGAACTTTTTCCTGTTCTTCAAGTTCATAAAGTTTTCAGTTCGGCTTTCGTTGCCTACAGGTTAAGCCACAGAAAACACTCGCCCGCTATTATTAAATTGGAGGCAATATACACAATAAGCTTGACAAATATTACAAAAAAAAAAGACTTTCTTTTCTACAAAGCTGATGAAATTTAATGATAATAAATTGATATATGTTACGCATGATCCAGCAGCCTCTATATAAAATGAAGAAAAAAAAACAATCGGTGAGCTTCTCTTCGCATACGCTCAATGGCCGTTGAGCTTTTCTCCGCATCCGTCGGTTTCGCGGTGAGCTTTTCTCCGGTGAGCTTATCTCCGGCGAGCTTTTCTCCGGTGAGCTTTTCTCCGGGATTCGACGTCGGAGGCAGCTCTGAATGGGAATGAACGATGGTGAAGTTGAGTGCGACTCGGTTGCTCAGTCCGACTGTGTCTTGGGGGCGTCCTAGGTGGAGGAAAATGCAGCTGAGTAGGAACACGCCGAACATCATGGAGAAGGCGCTTGGGCAGTAAGGGTACGCCGATGGGATGAAGCGCTCGTACTGCGTGTGCTGCAGCGGCTGCACGGACACCTGCGGAAACGCGGGCCAACTTGAAGGACGATACTAACACGCCCGTATGTAGCTGTATGTTTGGGTGAAAAGCAAAAACCTGCCCGAGTGGTATAGTGTCGAGATGCGTGCAGCCGACACGGTTGTAGCCCACTTTGAACTGGTACACTCCGTAAACGTCCAAAACCTTGAATTGGGACTCGCACTTCTGACCTGCATTGGTTGACGCCGCAGATTCATCTGTATAGTTTAAAAAGACAACCAACTTCGAACAATAAATAAAAAGCTAAAGAAGACCTCTGTTAATAAAATTTTTGAGTAATCCCTGTAGACTTAAATTTTACTAATTAGAACAACAAAAAAAAAAAAATGACCGCATCTCCACGTGGTGAATGATGTTGATTGGGGTGAAGCTCTGGTGGGTGCTGATGATACTGATTTTACGGAACATGTTTATATACGCATTTGAGCATTTGACCGCAGCGCCCTCTCGTCTATAAACGTTTAGCCAATGCATACAAAGTTTAACGCGATTATATACGCATTTGACCGCAGCGCCCTCTCCTGTATAGACGTTGCGCGGCTACATGCAACGTTTCATCCATGACATCTCCAGCTCTTGAGTTACTACCACATCTCAGAGCCCCCTACTCGTCCCGCAGTCGTGGCCGAGTTTGTGTCCCCGCACAGGTTCGAATCCTGTCGATTGCGCAAACATTTTTTTTCTTTTTTTTAAGAAGACAGATGGGATGGCAATCGATGTGAGCACGGACGCCGGACAAAACCTAAGAAGCTTCGCCACTAAAAAAAAAAAAAAAAAGCTTTCTCAAGATATTTTTAGGTTTATTAAAACAAACAAAAGAAAACCTTTTTGCAGCCGATTTCGACGTGTAACGATGGAACAAAAACGTTCCAGTGCATCTTTTAATGTTTTAAACAGCTTTGCAGCCGCGACGCGACGTAAGCTAGCCCGAAGAAACGCATACAAACGAAGCCTCAACAAGGAGCTTTTTCTCTCGTGGTCGGCTTCGAGAAGACGAAGTGTACTCGCCTTTCTCGACCAGCTTGGTGCGTACAAACGAATCGATGAGAACAAACTCCATCTGCAAGTCGTCGGCGTCAAAGGGCACCCAATGGCTGTCCTTGCTGTACACATGGAAGGTAAACTCCGCAAGTTGGTAAATCCGCATCAGACAGAAATGCCGGCAAAACAAACTCGTTTCATGAGACGTACGACGTCGTCCGTAATGGTGTACGCTTCCGGAGGCCTCTTCTGGTCCTTGGCGTGGTGGCGAACATTCTGTGCCCTCAGCACCTTCTTCTCCTTGAACACCCATTGAGAGAGGGCCGTGGGAAGTGCCTGGTTGCTGGCGCTCTCGTACCTGTTTCAGGAAGGCAATTCCTTGCTAGGAACGTATATTACGGGGTTTCATGCCACTTTTAGTCCACGGGATCCGACGAAGAAAATGAAACCCTAACTATGCGTCGCAGAAACCCGACAAACCGTGCGAACGGGATGCTAGCGGCGGTCACAGAATGGAAAAGTCTGAGAACGTGACGTTGCCTGGATGAACGGATGAAGCGGGAAGACAAAATTTCTCCATGATTCAACGTCTGCCCAGACCTAATATTGGTCAAACCGAGAAATGGCACTTTGGGTGCCTGCGGCATTTAGTTCGGTAAAATATGTGTGTCAGCGAGAAAGAAAATTGGATCATCTTTCTTGCCGACAGGTTTGTTTTGCCGAAATAATTGTCGCGGACGCCCATGATGCCACTTCTCGACTCGACAAGCGTTAGGCTTAGGTGGACGTCGTGTTTTCCGAATTTTGCATTCTATCACCACCGCTAGCGTCCAGTCCGCGTAAAGTTAAAGCTTCCCGCGACGCGTGCTTTATTTATTCTGGTTAAATAGCAGAGTTTCATTGTCTGGATCGGACCCTCTAATGTCGCCGAAGGTTTTCCACCGAAATTGTACTCGCAGGTGCTGCAACTGCTGTCCTGCAAGCTCGTAACAATTTTTTTTTTTTCAAAAACACTAGCAATTTTTTTTTTTTTTTTTAGCGACGAAATTTGAGAATTAAACGGCCCAATCTAAACTGGAGCAATAGAATGCACCGCTTTCCGCCGTGCGCATTTAGGACAGGAGAGGTGAAGAGCTTGTCGCTGAAGAAGACCAGAAAGCCACAGAACACGACGCGCACATTGTTCCTCGCTTGCAGAGCCGACACGAGCAGAGTGTTCTTGCCCACTGCGTGCGGGTACTGTCGAACGACAGTACCCGCACGTTTAGCGAAGAGCTCACGTGGTCACCCATGCAAATAGAATGAAGGCAGAGCTGTCTCGAATTGTTGGTATTATATATAAAATGCAAAATTTGATACCCACTTAGCTTAAAATGACGTTGTATTATTCTGTCTTTTATTCTAAGATCAGTTATGGTATGTTGGTTTGGGGTACGACCACTGCATCTATCTACAACAAACCAATCATCCTTCAGAAAAAAATTCTTCGTATTTGCGAAAATTACAGAGGTAATGTCAGAAATTTGAGCACTCAACAACTTTTTGTTAAATATAATATATTGAAGGCAGACCAGATATATCACTTTAAATTATTTCAATGGATCTACAAAACAACCTCTATTTGACACAGACACCTCCTTCTAGTGCCTACACATTACGAGACCCGAAACGTAGGATCCCAAGCATACGAACAAATTATGGCAGGCAAAGTTTATTGTACATGAGTACTAAATTGTTAAATTCCCCTGGCATTGATGTCAATTTCAGTTCCCCTTTTCCAAAGTTCAAAAGAGACTGCAGAGGAGCTCTGGTCTGCAGTGATATCGCATTTTCATCTATTTAAGGCATGCATATCTATTTATATTTATTTTCAATGAAGCGTAACGTATACGAAACTTTGGAATTCTCAATTTTGGCTTTGTAGCCTGATTTTTGGTTTTGATTTAGCTTGTTTCCGCTTTCTTTTATAAATCCTTGTTTATAAATGTTTAGTAGATATGTAAAAAAACCGGTGTCTATTTTTGTCTTTATTTTAATTTTATTTTACTTCTGGGTTATGATAAGCACATCGCCCCGCATTGTTCAAGCTGTGCCGCTTGTGTAGTTGTTTGAGTTGAGTCATTGTATTTCATGTGTTTTCAGATATTTCTATAATAATTGTTTCTATTTGTTTTTATGACGATGGCTGTCTTGTTATTTATTATCACTATGACTTCTTTGAAATGCTATTTCCGCTGTATGAACTGCAGGGGGCAGAGGCGCTGTCAGGCATCATGCCTTTATCTCTGCCCCCTCTGCGGATTAAAATCCGGAAAAAAAAAAAAAAAAAAAAAAAAAAAACGAGATGCCGCTTTCGTCAGTTCACGAAGTGCCCCGAGTAGCGAACGGACATGATGCGTGAAGCACAATATTACCTCAGTGATCTTGTTGTCTGGGTTATAACTGTAAGCTATTGAAGGGGCAGTCAGAGCTTCATAACACAAGAAGGTTTTCCTAATCAAAGATAATGCTAAAAAAAAAAGTGATTATTTTGCAAAATTTGAGTAACACGTCTAAATTTTGTGCCTACAACGACATAGCCTACACCCCTGAACAGAACGGGAGGAATATTCTTGCTGCCGACCACCGTGGGGGCTTTGATAACGTTCTCGCTCTCGGCAACTATGGTTGTGTGCTGCAAGAACGCAGTGATGTGCACTCGGACATATGCAATGTGAAACATCAGGTATACATAGCTTGCACCGACGTCACTTGGTCGGACATGGGGGAAAGGGCGTGGGAGAGTGTATCTTCCACTGCATTAACGAGGCACTTCTGGCCACCAGAAAGAGGGGCGGACTGACGTCCTGTGCTCCTCGGCATACAGTGCTCTAGCAAACCATATGAGTCACTCGACTTCGTTTTTACAAGTTGAAAAGCTGGAAACAACTTATTTTTGTAGGTTGTGGGGATTTGCTAGCTACCAACAGAAGTACCGATAAAGGAACCAAAGGGTTATCTCAATAGCGGCGGCGATCTCAAAGGATACGTCAAACCTGGTAGCGCGATCCCACATCTTTAGGGCTACACTACCGTGGGTCGTTTCGATAGATACCTCCGTCGGTGCCAATGATCCTCTACTTTGTCTCACACTCTCGCATATAGCGGAAGAGAGGACACACGTACCAGAGTAATAAAAGAGTCCCACAGTATTTATTAAAACACCCTCCTATAGAAACTACTGTGCCCCATCCCCAATGCCGCCCGTGCCGGCAAGGTAAGAAAGGGCCCTTACCTGCCAGATGCGGGGTTCCAGAGAGCCGAGATTGGGGAAGCATTGGGGAAGTCGCCGAGACACGTCCTATCTCTCTCGCGGTCACTGGACGAGTCCCCTCCCCGAAAGAGGGAAAAGACGACGCGAAACCTCCTCGCCTGTCGGTAGTGATCCGCATCCGAGTGGGGGAACGGAAGAAGGTCCAGGGTTGCCAGGTGTTTGTACTCTGACCCGCCAAATTTCTACGACATATAGCCCAAAAATAGCCAAATGTCGATCCAAAAAATAGTCCGAAAAAAGCCAAAAAACTGACCATTGGAAACGCTTGTTTTAAACACAAAAGACGACATAATACATTTTTATACATCAACTAGAAATATTCACACCACTAGCATCACTAGTTCACAGAACCAACAGCTAGAGCACGGGTGAGTCACTATGGGCAAAACAAGACACGTGTCGTCCCGTTGTTTTTTTTTTTTCGTTTTTTTTTTTCAGTTTTTATGATTTTAGAACATAAATAATGAACACCATGTTGTGTGCTCTGCAACGGTGCCTAAATGCCTCTGAGATAGCGTCGCTTGCACGTTCGGCGAACTTCCTGAAGCGCTCGTACTAGCGCATGTCAACATATCTTCCATTGTATTCGGGCGTATCGGGGTATGGTGACCAGAATGACGTCACAGGAAAACTATGCAAAATTAAACACAACGTATAGGTGCCCGCCAATTAACAGGCAACCTAAAGAATGCGCAAGCTGTTGGGGCCGCGCCGTCACTGGTTGAGATGGAGGAATAACAGCACACGCTTGGCATTCCGACAAAATTCGAGGGTAAACAATTGCACAAGGTGCGCAGAGCAGACGAATTTGCTTGCTGTCGCATACTTTTCAGGGTTAACAGACTGAACCGCCAAATCTTTACGTGACTTACTCCAAAATATCATATTTGAGCCTATAAACCACTGATCTCTGCTATAAATCCAAGTGCTTTGAGGCCTTTTGGTGTGCCCAGCACGAGTCAGAAATAGCCCCATACAAGCCAAATAGCCAACTACCATTTTTTCCCGCCAACTGCAAATAAAACTAGCCCAATTTGGCTATTTATAGCCCAACCTGGCAACCCTGAGAAGGTCCACCCGGGAGAGGGTCAACTCATGTTTACAAACAAACCGGAGTGCCCCTAGCGGACGCCACCGGCGCCGCGCATGCGCGTTGGGGGTGTGGGCAAGAAGCTCGCCGTCGCCCATAAACAAACCATTGAAATGCGATGTTGTCGGGGTCGGTGTGAGTCCCCCTGCTCTTTTTCGCGTTCGAATTGTTGATTCTACGTCTTCCTGGCGATGTCTGACTACTTGAGCGGCGTCAGCGAAATTACCGAGGCTCGTTACACCGCGAAACTTCGCGTGAATAATGTGACATGTGGCGATTCATACCGCGTGGACGCCGCAGTATGTACGCTAAAACTGATTCGCATGATGAAATTTCGCTCGCAATTTTCAGTCGCGACGCCGCTCGGGCTGCAAAAGCGTGAACCGTAGCTGAGATAGTCGACGTGGATACTGAAAACGCAAGCAGAATCGGACCAAGTCAATTAGGCATAGCAAGTCAGTGATGGTCACTCGTAACAATGATCAACATCTCCTTGTATTTACTGTTTACATCGAGCCTGATTACCAACCTTCGAACTTATGTCTTTTGAGGCTTGCACTTACTTTGTATAGCAAGTAGCGGGCCAACATTTAATCTACGGGCCGGCGTCGTCTAAGAAAGCAGACGACAAGCAGAAACGTTTGAAAGAGCAGACGACAGTTCGAACGATCAGGCGGCCGGTTGAACTTGAAGACGCACGGAACGTAGTCCGCAGGTGGTCCGCACAACTTGATGGTTTTCTGGCGCTCATGTTGGAATAAAACAAATAAATTCGATGACCACAAGTATCCGTGAATTCAACTCAAAGTGCTCAAAGTGCAAATTGGGTAATGTATTTGACGTGTGTATTTAAATACTAAAACGTGGGTATTTCAAATACAATTGTAATGAAATACAATTTTGTGGGCGAAAATACATCCCTCAAATTTATTGTCACTGTCCACAGCAGGAAGAAAACTACGTTCTGCACCGAATGCAGTGTCTCTCAATCAAGCACAAGCGTTTAGTGGCTTGTGATTACGGTGCTAGTCCAGGGCAAGACTAGTGACGAAATCGACGGGCAGACTGGCTAAATAAGTGCCTGTGACAACTTCTGATGCTTTCCAGCCTGATTTCCATCCATATTTTTCCCTGGAACATTCTAAATGCGCGGGTCGTCCAGGTTTTCGTAACTGGTGCGAGTTGCAACAATAAAAAATTCTCTAGCTAGTGCTGCACGTCTTGATCGTCTCGGTTCTTCGTTGGTCTACATCAACATGTAATCGACAAAAGAAGCTGCTTGAAGCTCTGTACTTTTTTCACCTATTACGTCCAAGCTGATTACATTTTTTTGTGATTATATTTCTATTACATTACTAGAGCCTCGCACAATAACTCCCGAGTGTGCGATGCAAAATTAAAATGAGATACCCAGAAACCCGTTGAAGGTGCCCTGAAGTCGCTCACGCAAATCTTGAGGAATGTATTTGGAAAAGTATTTGGAGGAGACCAAATACATTTGGTTGTATTTGTATCTTGTATTTATATGCTTTTTTGGAAATGTAATTAGATTTGTAATTGAATACATTTTTGACGAAGTATTTTGTATTTGTATTTCGATACATATTTGCATGTATTTTGCCCATCCCTGAGATTAGCCCGTCGCCCAAAATTCAGACAAAAGTTGCTTTCCCCACCCCGTTCACCCCGAAGCTGACAGTGCTGTGGAAGCTACGTGCTCGTTGGGCCAGCCACACTTTTGCCACGTGATCACGCTCTCTCACGCATACCCACGCGCAGAGCATGAGGTCAGGTGATGGATGGGAGGCGGCTGATTGGTCCGGCAAGCGCGTAGCTTCCACCGCAATGTCAGCTTAGGGGTGAAGGGACTAAGTGAGATCCGGTGTCGTGTGACGTGCGTTTGGGCTCGGTGACGCGCTGTGGGGACCGCGGATGTATCACAGTCAGGGATGGGCAAAATACATGCAAATGTGTATCGAAATACAAATACAAAATAGTTCGTCAAAAATGTATTTAACTACAAATCTAATTACATTTCCAAAAAAAGCATTGAAGTACAAGAAACAAATACAACCAAATGTATTTGGTCTGCTCCAAATACTTTTCCACATACATTCTTCAAAATTTGCGTCAGCGACTTCAGAGCACCTGCAACGGGTTTCTGGGTATCTCATTTTAATTTTGCATCGCACATTCGGGAGTTAGTGTGCGAGGCCCTAGTAATGTAATAGAAATATAATCACAAAAAAATGTAATCAGCTTGGACGTAATAAGTGAAAAAAGTGCATAGCTTCAAGCAGCTTTTTTGTCGATTACATTTTGATATATAGACCAACTAATGAACGGAGACGACCAAGACGCGCAGCACTAGCTAGATAATTTTTTATCGTTGCAACTCACACCAGTTACGAAAATCTGGACGACCCGCGCATTTAGAGTGTTCCAGGCAAAAACATGGATGGAAATCAGGCTGGAAAGCATCACAAGTTGTCACAGGCATTTATTTAGCCAGTCAGCCTGTGAACGTCGATTTCGTCACTATTCTTGCCCTGGACTAGCACCGTAATCACAAAGTCACTAAACACTTGCGCTTGATTGAGATACACTGCATTCGGTGCAGAACGTAGTTTTCTTCCTGCTCTGGACACGTCTTAGGATGAGCAAGATGAGTCGTGACAATAAATTTGAGGGATGTATTTTCGCCCACAAAATTGTATTTAATTACAATTGTATTTGAAATACCCACGTTTTAGTATTTAAATACACACGTCAAATACATTACCCAATTTGTAATTAAATACAAATGCAAAATACACAAAGTATTTGAAATACGTATTTCAAATAATTGTATTTGAAATACTGCCCATCCCTGATCACAGTGAAAAAGCAGAGAGCTTACGAAGGGGAAGGAGGTACGAAATAGTCCGCTCTGTTTTCAAATTTTCGCACCGAAAATCAGCGCACTGTGCTGTCTGTTTCTCGCCTCTTTGTCCCTGTTTTTTGAGCGCTAAAATGTATTCCAAATTCCAAAAGCGCACTGTGCTGTCTGTTTCTCGCCTCTTTGTCCCTGTTTTTTGAGCGCTAAAATGTATTCCAAATTCCAAAACCAACTAGCCCAACAATCTACTCTACCGAAAATCAGGCTTTTGACTTCCTCCCTTTTTTTCTTTTGGCTCACCGAACAATGAGCTATTAGTAAAATCTCAATATAAATTAATTTATTCCAGCCCAAAATTCGTTTCATGGGCCCTTTAAGTGGTACGTTTATCATACTTAAATTTTATTAATGTAGGTTACAGGAAAGAAATACTAAGACCAAAAAAACCCTGTTCTTTT